ATTAGTATTAATATCGAATTTTTTTTATCAATCGTCGTTTTTAACATGACCTATTATTTTGTATAATTGTATTTTAGTTTGTAACGTAGTTATAACGTCACATTGTATTATTTATATATTATATATATATATATATATATATTGAAATATAAACTTAGCAACGTAGCCTAAAAAACCGTTCGCAATCTTTCGGTTTTTGGCTAAAAAAACAAATGCATCGATAAGTGACATTCGTTCGCGATCGTGTTATAAAAAAGGTAAAACGTTTGCAATCGTGTTATACCCTTGCATAATATACCTTTCACAGAATGTATGTATTCATATATTTCTGAGTGATGTTCATAGTTAACCAGTGGCTCTGAATTTGTCCAACTATCGTAAAACATGACCGGTTGAATCCTCTCCAGTGGAAATCTAGTTCCGAAATTCCAGGCTGGTTTGATCTTAACATCATGATCACAGTACATTAATTATAATACATTACGTTGATTATATATTTTATAACTGTTTAGCCTTACGTGATCGATGTTCACTATTTTTAGAAAATTCACGATAGCTTCGTTCAACCATTTGTCGTCATTACTTCCTCGATCAAGTCCTCTCAACGGCATTAGCCATTGTCGGATTACGTGCATGACCATCAACTCAACGGATTTCTGGTACTCGATGATCGATGACTTATGTATGGTACTCAACATTGAATCTCTAAAAATATACAACAATGTACAATATGCGATTAGGACATTTAATATAATTTTAGCATGATTGATTTTAATTTAACAAACTTGATCATGATTAAGCCTGGACTTTCAGCTGTAGTCATGACCGCACTAGGGACGACCACTATATCAAGTTTGTTGGTCGGAAAATTGGTTGCCAAATAAGACGTCATGAAATCCAACGTTTTTGGCACTACGTCTGTGATCATTTCAATTGAATCAGTAGAATCGGGACTCCATACTGTCAATTCTAATGAGCTGTCTGTTTGTATAGGTTTTGACTTAAAGTTTGACATAAACAAACCTAAAGAGTCTGGTCTGATAAGTCCGGTTTTTTCGAAATGATCTACGAATAGATTGTCGCTGCTGTAACACGATTTATTTAATTTTTAATCTTTTTTTGTTTTTTTAAACAGTATGCCACTATTTTATTGGATAGTTTTCTAAACTTTCTACTTAGAAGAAGTACTAGAAATATTTTTTAATCTATTAAAACATGAACATAATATTAAAAATTTTAATTCCCACTTTTACTTAGACATATTATGTATAGTATATTATAATATAATATTTATATCACCCACTCAAAGTAAATAATATTTAGGATAGTTGAAAAATATATTCTAACATTAWGTAAAAATATAATATGTAGTACAACTAAATTATCTATTTGAATAAAATAACGGTTGTAATTATTTGATTACAGTTTACACTAAGCTAAAGTAGTACATTTAATTATGTGGTGGGTATTAATTACTAAACTTATTGAACAAAATTTTTTGGGGTTTTAATGATAAATCACTATATACAATATTAGATTGAACTTACTATGGTTCCGTTGCTCTAACTCTGGTATTAAAAATAACTCTTGTGTCCTGGTTTCTGACCACACTCATTTCAAAAATGGCCTTATGCTTCGGATTATCTACGCAGGGTATCAAATGTCTTGCCTTGCGAGGAGCTAACTTCGTGGCAACATACCATTGGTTTTTTACGACTTCCTTGTTATCGAAAACGACCTTGAAAAATCCTCCATCGGGATTCTGGCCGATGGTGCCCGTGAAGTTCACGAACAGACTGTAATAGTGTCCGGATTTGAGAGGTTCGCCAACAGTCACTGTCAATGTCTCCTGGCTTTCGTCTACTTCGGTGTTGAGCTCGTATTTGGAATCATCCTGAAACGTCATGGCAGTGTCAACCATCAAAAAGTAAATTGCCATGGTACATAWTTGTGTTACACTTGATTCGTAAATCGCAGTGCACTTACTTTGAGAACTTGTTCGGTTGGCGTGTCCATGCTCAGTCTACGCTTTAACATCGTTTCGCCGTCGATTTTCAAAAGTCCAACGTGCAAGCTAATAACGGACGTATCGGTCTTAGGCCGGAAAATCACTTCCACTCTGCCAGTGTAATCGACGTCGTGTTTAGAAATCGTCCCATCTGCGGCATATAACTTCGGGTCCAGAAAAACCTTATAACTCTCCGGCTCAACAGCCAAAAATGGTATTTGATTGTCCGCAACGCCCGAGTCAGCTTTCTTTACGAACGAATCACGATATATGTACTAAATAATGACAATATTAACCCTATCAATGTACGTGTTTTGTTTCGGATATGTCACACGGGACTTAATAACTTATCAGCATTATTTCTTACGTGTCWTATGTTAAAATCAAGAACTGTATTATTATATATTTTTCATCTATGATCTTCAAAAGTTTCTGAGCGCAAATAAACAATATATTATTCAACAAAACGTACAAATTAATTTATTGAGTTATCAAATAGTTTTACTTTCGTAAATAGTATTATTATTTTACTGRCATTATTTTTACATAGTTTTTTAAAACTATTTGTAATAATATTAACCCGTTTAAAAATCCATTCAGTTATTACATAGAATAATATTATATTAATTTTAAATTTTTC